AGATAATAAAATCAAAGAAGTTGATATTAAAGAGATTAAAACAAAATATGCTAGAGAAATTAAAGAAACCAATAAAGCCTCTCTAATTAATGCTACAAATACAGAATTATCAGTCTTAAGTACATTACCATCATTAGTTTAGAAACAAAGAACTGCAGCAATTAAAAACTATAAATATAATTCTAACAAAAAAGTAAGTCTAATACTATTTAATTATTATTTGGTTTAACTCGCATTATAAGTTTCTGCAACAATTTACTGTTTAAATAAATTATATAATAATTTCAAATTAGTAATATATTAACTAATGGTAACTATGTTTTAAATAGTTAAAGCAGAGTAATGAAATCATCAACTTATCTTCATCTAAAGCTACTATATGATATAAACTTGAAACACTTTTTTATGAAAAACAAGCTAATTAAAAAAGAAAGAATTTTGTAAAAGCTTGTATTAAGAAAAATATCTGCTTAGATAATAATGTAGAATCAAATTTGAAAAAGTTGTTTATATGGTTCAATAGAAGAAAAAATAAGTAGCTAGTTTGTAAAGCTAATTATATTGAAATATGTAAATAAATAAATTAGTGATAGTTGTAATTTTCAAATTTTCTCTTTGAAGTATCAATTAAAAGACTTATATAATGACAATATTGTATCACAATATAGCAATATATATATACGTATATAAATATGGTTTTTTTTTTTTTATTGCAGTTCTAGTTAATAATAATATACAAATTTTTAGTAGGCCAATGACGATGGTCTAAATAAATCAATATTAATATTTTTGCGTCTCTTTAATTTATAAAAAAAAAAAAAAAAAGAAAGTTCTTGTATTAGAATTTTTACTATAAAATTTTTTTTTTTAAATTTTCTTAACTTTTATATATTTTTACCTTTAAAAAAATCTTTACTCTTATGACAACATCAGGAAATTTTTAAATAAGATGCATATCGATTACTAGCTGCAGGGTTAATTGCAATCGATTTATATCAATTATAATCAATTGCAATCAATTGCAATCATTTAAATTTAAATGATTACAATCGATTGTAATCAATATAAATCGATTGCAATCATTTAAATTTAAATGATTGCAATTGATTGCAATCGATTATAATTGATATAAATCGATTGCAATTAACCCTGCAGCTAGTAATCAATATGCATCTTATTTAAAAATTTCCTGATGAAGTCTTAATTTTATAAGTAAATTACTAAAAATGTAATAATAAAAGTTGTAATTCTTTGTATAAACTACAATATTATATTTGAAATTATATTTTTAAAACTAATATTTAAAGAATATATTTTTTTTTTTTTTATTCGGCAGTCTTGCCTTTACTGTTTTATTAGTGCTCTAAGGTATTGTGGTTACAAACATACATATATACATTTACAACTATCTAATTTATTACAGATAAGGCTTACTTGATTACTAACTTAGTATCTATATACGACCTGCTATATGAGATTTTACTTTCTTAGTAACTGCCCTTTTTGACCAGACTAATTACTAAATCACCAGATGGTTTCCAAACCTATATTATTATATATATCCCACTTATATACTACTGTACAATGTCTACTAGCCAACTTCTATCCCTCAGTACTTATCACATTACTTCTAATTCGTTTTTTGTACCACTTTCAAAATGGTGTCTCTCAAGTGGGCGCCCTTGATGCTTCCAGTTTGGTGTCTCTAGAGAAGTTACTTTATGGGCCTAGCCGTATCTCAAACAGTTAAGTTGCCAAACTAGGATGATATTTTACATTGATCCAGGTATTCATATTGTATACCACCAAATTAGGCTACTGACCCTTCTATAGTACTCCCTATTGGTATAGTGATACAGGAGTCTGAATTCTTCGGATGGGAGTCAAGTACCTCATTTAATTACTGTTACAATCCAGTAATCTGGAACCCGCACCTCTGCTGTGTTTTGTCATAGACTCCCATATAGGTTGTGCGACTATTACTTCCTAGCCTGTCTTTATTTTCGTATTACTGGATCACCTACTTCCATACTTTCGGGGTTTCTTTTAGCTGGTTTTCTTTGTTTTCTTGTGCCAGAGATGTTCTATATTTGGTAAAGCCATCCTTTTACTACAGCCCTTACTATGTTTACTGCTTCTCTTACTACTTCTGGATATATCACATTCAGTCATCCTCCTAATCAAGATCCCAATGCCGCCTTAGGGTTGTTGGTGCTACCTTGCTAATCGTAGATTTACACACACAGCCTTCTGCAGTAATACCTTTCATGACCCATGTCACACACAGTGCCTAGTCTTCTCTATGGCTCGGGACTCCTTCCAAGAATTCTTTATCGGCCAAATATATATATCACATGGTTTTACCACTACAGAGTTTCACATTCAAAAGCCCCAAAGGTTACAGAGATAATTAATTAAATTAATTACTACTAGCTGTAATTGAACCATCGACCTCGTCTGTGGAGGGTTAGGTGCCTAGACTACTAGGCTACAGGACTCTAACCCAATATTTAAAGAAATTGTAAATTATTTTTTTAGTTAAAAAATTTCTTTTAAAATTTTTGTCTTATATAAATGCAAATATTGCAAAAATATAATCTTTATTTTCAAATATTATTATATTAAATTTTATTTAAATATTTTAAATAATTAAAAAAGACATATTTTAGTAATTATGCAGACAAATTTGCCTGCAAATCTTTATCAACAGAGGTGTGGTGATCTAGTGTAGTGGTTTAGTTGTAACTCTCTCTAAGTGGCAGGTCTAGAGTTCAAATCTCACTGGTGATAATTTTAAAAAATAGGCCTGTGTATAGTTAACAGCTTTCTATTGGTTGGATCTAAATTAATCTGTAATCTTGGTTACACCATCTAGTAATAGAAGCTTCAGTGCAATAAATCCAGAGAACTGGAATAACCGAAAACCTGTTTGGCAAGTTCCAAGTTTGGAGGTAGTGGTAATTTATGATGGTACTACAGGAGGGCTGAATTCAAACTGGGGCCCGAGATCGGAGAACTGAGTGACCAGGTCCTAATGGCAGGTGTGCCCTTATTTTTCACCATGATACAAACCAAAAAAAAGAAATTTTTATATGTAGATCATAAGATCAGGTGTAATATGAAATTTTCTTATACTTGTTGGTACTTTTCAAAAAATTACTAATAACTTAAAATTTTATTTAAAAAACTGTCTCTCATGTTCTAACAAAAAAATTTCTTGCAAAATTTTAGTATAGAATCTATTCTTCCTAACTTTAAAGTTAAAGCAAATTTGCTACAAATAGAATATTTGTAATTTTGCATGATTTGTATTGTAGTGAGAAATAAGTAAATCTCTAATGGTGGAGGACATACTAGCTGAACTGCCGGGTTGTCGCACCGGAGAAAAAGAACATATGCTCCAAAAGTATGAACCAAGGAGAGAGCATCCTTCAGATACCTAAAGCCTGGGCAGACTGACTTTTCCGAGTTGCTAGCTAAAAGTAAAAGAGGGACCAATAAAGAATCTGGGTAAGAAGATGGTCTAAATGCAGAGTACTGGGTTGCTAGGAACTAAAACAAGAGCAAGGAGTATGTAATGGGTGCCTAGTTTGAAAGGTTGGTGCTTAAGAAACATTCGTAAAACAGCAGCACCCCAAAAGGTGATATAAGATATGAATACAAAATGGCAGGTCAATATGTACTAATTAGGAAGAAGTTATAGAAACAAGCATGTGAATACATGTGTGAGACATGTATCGCTATATTAGGTTTACCTCAAGGATTGTTAAGTGTTCTAAGGTAGGGTGCAAAATCTAGATTGGGTAATACCAAAATCTATCATAGTTTATAGTGAAGAAACCCATCAGGTTAGAAGGTGGATGGAGGTAGTTAGAACCAGATGGTTTAAATAGGTACCCCCCTAGTTGGGGTGCAGGTATGGCAGATAGTGTAGAACCTTCGGGTGGATAACTTAAATAGGCACTCAAAAGGTGCATGTGTGGCTTGATGTACCATCATTGTAATTACATATAAAACTCCGTCTATACTCTAATAAAAAGTTCCCCAGGCCAAAAAGGTCACCTTAATACAAAAAAAAAAAAAAAAAGCAAATCTTTACCAACTAAGAGATAGATTTCAACTGATTCTGATTGCGGGATATCCTGATTCATCATAATTTTAGATACAGTATTCTACATATTATGACAAAGAGGGAATCATGACGAATCGGGATTATCTTGTGATCCCGTGATTAGATCAGATGAAATTTATACCATTTTATTCTTCTCGATGAGAGGAATCGAATGGTGTAAATTTCATCTGATTCTGATCACGGGATCAAGAGATAATCCGATACCCATATTCACCTTATATAAAACTTAAAAAATATATATAAAACATACTGTATAATAAATACAATACCACTATAGATATTAATTGGGCAATTGACCAATTTTGTTTTATGGAACCTATAAATTGTAACATTGAACTTATAGATTCTAATTAGACCAATTCCAGTTCAAATTATGATGACCAACGTAATAGATATGCTTAATAAATAAATAAATAAATATATTGATAAAACTATATTAGAAATAATTCAAATTTTTAATTTTTTTATCCAAATTTTATCCAAATATTTGTCGAAGCCCAAATAACTTTTTGTAATTTGATATCCAGATATTTCCGGGTCTTTGGAGTTTTTTTTTTAACAGATTGTGTTGTAGATTATACAAAAAAAAGTGGAATTACATGTATTATAGTCGAAGATTCAATAAAACGAAATAAACTTGGATTCTTATTTGGAATACTTAAATTAATAAATGTTCTTTATACACGAGCATTAATCACGCAAATAAATATTCATGAACTTACATGAAAATGTACTAAACTATCGTAAATAAAAATAAAATTAATATTTATGAACTTAACAAAGTTCACACTTATTTATATATGGATGTTAAAACGTAACTGCGCCGTAAATCTCATGACCGAATAGAGAATAAGATGTTAACGCCAATATGATCATGGCTATGAGAAATTTATTTATGACGTATGAGACTTGTTAGCAGAAAAATAATAAACAAATGAGATGCCAGACTCAATGGCAGATGCGCATGGCAGCATGTAAAAGCCTTGAAAAATTTTAAGAAGTATGGTCAAAAAGTATTTTTTAGATCATATTCAAAGAAATTATTTAAAGAATGTAATTTAGAAGTGGTTGGTTACGACACTTATGTGTGAGGAAGGGGGACATAAAGACTATCATAAAAAACAACCCAAATCATTATAGTCACGCTTCTAGCGAGTTGTCTAATCCCATTTTCTTGTATTAGTTCATCTTACTATCGGAACTTTCAATTCTGCCTATAACAATATATCGGGTGGGTGAAAAGTCCTTATACAGGACTTTTTTATTATCCTCGCCAATGATAAAAGTTTTATAACTACAGTATTATTTGCAATATACCAGAAATAACCATTAAAAATGGTAACCAAGATATGTCATTAGCGATTTCCTGTCTAGACCAACTGGCATAATAACTACTAATAACTACCCTGTGATTATAAATATAATGTATGTTTATTACTTTTGATATAAAATAAAAAATTAGCAACTATTGAAAATGACGCATCGAATATTTATTTTGAGGGGTTAAAGAATAACTGATAGCTTGTACGTGCATACGTATGTACACAAGATATATACATTATACTAATAAGGAATTTGATTTTATTGAACACGTCTGCTAACCGTGATAGAAAACTTGTATAACCGTACCAGCCATATTGATAAATATCATATATCGTAAAAAATAAACCCTGAACTGGTAAGTATTTCATACTTTGCACGTTTTATAGATGTTACCTGAAAAGGATTATCCTTAAAGATTCAAATTTAAATTAATTAAACGGTTTGTTTTGATTAAAAATTTGATCGTGCCACTTAAAATAAAAGTGCATTTATTATTATAAACAAATAAAATTTATACAAAAAAAGATCTGAGGCAACGTACTTGGTAATACAACAAGTAAAGGTTCCGGATCTAACAATCTTTTAGCAATTTTTTTTTTTTTAAAAAAAAAACTGATGACTAACGCTAATTAATATCAAGTTTGCACAGGATAACTATATAAAACTTTTTCCCGAAGATCAGCAAGCTTATGTAATTCAATAATTTATAAATATCACCTTTAATGAACTATTTTCTGAATTCAGGACGATTCATTTTCGCCTTGATTTTTTTTTTGCTTTTTATTTTTTTTTAACGAAAAAATGGCCATCTCTTTTGCTGTCGCAAATGTTCTTATATACATTGTTATGTTAATTTTTATGTTTATCGGTCTATATGCCGGTTACAAGGAAACCAAAACAAAGACGGATTTTTTATCATCTATTAGAACTCAAATGGCTCTTGGTCTGGCAGCGAATTGGCTTGCTTCGAGTGAGTTGAAGAATAGATAATTGGAATATAGCGGCAGTTAGGTTTGTATTGTCCATGATGGACAGGTAAGGTGCTAAAAATTAACTTATCCCTCTTTAAAGTGCCAGGACTCTTTTATGATAACTCGTTATAGAATTGCCAGGTATTATTTTGAAAATATATTAAAATATACAATCACTATTTTCATTTATTCACCTTTATAGAATATCGCATATAATATCTGGCGATTCTGACCGATCAAAAATTAAATATATAATTTGAATCAATGTTGTGTAACGATTTGTTCATTGAAAATTGTCTATCATGTCACGTAATAAAGAAGGCAATAAAATGATGCGACAATTACCAATAGACAAACTGTTGCACAACGCCGATTTGAATCGGCACTACGGGTGTTCAACGGTTAATGGATTACTACATGGAATTTACTTTGTCAATATAATTGACGTATATTTCTTATGGATTACTACATGGATTTATTTCAATATAATTGACATATTTTTCTTCTGATATGAAGTTGACCGTTGGGCTGAGAGAGCACCGTTATAACCTGATCAGGATAATGCCTGCGTAGGGAAGCTGCCACTTCATAAAAATATAATGTTATCATTATTATTATTATTATTATTATTTTGTTATTTTTAGCTATCAGCGCGTGAAGAGATTTCGAAAAACACGCGTCGAAGCTATTTATTCGTGATCAGAATAATTGAGCTGAAGAATTTATTCATTAACATAGACCTTAGTTCATCTATTTTCTACGCTTTTCCCGAAGTTGGTGCACGAGCTGGTATCCTTGGTAATTTTGCGTACTCGTTCGGATGTATCGTTCCACTTGTAGTATTTGCTTGGCTTGGACCTATATTGAGAAAAAAATGCCCTGAAGGATTCCTGTTAACTACATTTATTCGTGAAAGATTTGGTCGAATTAATCAAATCTATATTTCTCTAATGTCAATGGCATATATGTTCTGTTATATGGTCAGCGAATTATCCGCTATTGATGGTATATTAACTCTCTTGACAGGAATTGATTTCCATCATGTTCCTATAATTTTAATTACAATTACGACTACTCTTTATACTGGTAAATAACTTATTATTATTATTATTATTATTATTTATTATTATTTTTTTTTTAAAAAAAAATTATTTATTTTAAATTAGCTTATGGTGGCTTCCGTGCCTCTTTGTTAACCGATAAAGTGCAAGGTTGGGCTATTCTTGTCCTTTTAGTAATCTCGACAATAGGATTTGGTGTTACCGTGAAAATTGATCCGGGAGTAGTTAGTTCTAGTCCGCTCCTGAAATCAAATACATTGGGTTGGGAATTATTTTATATTATGCCCATTGCTGTTACTTTTGCCAATTTATTCCATCAGGTATTATTATTATTTCATAAAAAAAATAACATAGATTTTTAATCATTATTATTATTTATTATTTACTATTTACTATTTATAGGGTTATTGGCAACGAGCTTTCTCTTCTAAAAATGATCGAGAGTTAGCTTATTCTGCGCTTTATGGAAGTATTATGCTTTTCCCCACACTATTCTTGATTGGTTTTACGGGAATTATTGCAGCATGGGCTGGTACTTATCCAGGTCCTGATCCCAACAATCCAATAGGTCCTGACATGTCATTCTTCTCACTTTATACATTATTACCTGATTGGGTTCAAGGTTTTGTTGTAGTATTGTCTGTTTGTTTAAGCTGCTCAGCTTATGATACTTTACAAAGTGCAATGGTATCTACAATGTCAAATGATTTATTTAACAATAAGCTTCCTTTAATTTTTGTTCGGGGATTGCTTGTGGTTATCAACGTTCCTGCTGGTTTGTATAACATATATATATATATATATGTATTTTTTTTTACATTTATTAATTATTAACAAACTGACTTTTAATTGTATATAGTAATCCTTGGTATCAATAATCTTGATGTTCTTATTGTATTTTTAATTGGTGATCTTATAGCAGCAGCTGTAATGCCATCAATCCTCCTTGGTCTTGTGGATTCACTTTATTTTTTAAACGGATTCGACTCATTAGTAGGTGGTTTAGGAGGATTCTTTTCAATATTTATATTTGGTTCAGCATATTTTAATAGTGCATATGAAGGAGCTTTATTATATATTTTATCAAATGGTTTATATGTTGATGATTATTCAGTATTAGGAGCATTTCTTGTTGCACCAATTGGTTCTGTTGTATTTACTTTTTTGGCATTTGGAGTTAGATTGTTAGGAATGTTTATTTTAGCAAAGATTCAAGGAAAGGAATTTGAATTTCCCAAACGACCTGAACCTGATACTACTGAAGGAGAATCTGAAAAAACGGCCAATAATTTTACTACTGAAGATGAATCTGAAAAAACCGAAAATATTGTGGTTAAACCTGATACTACTGAAGATTCTTATAATATGGCTGAAGTGTAAAGAAATAGTTTTCTTTTTTGACTTTATTTATTATTTCGTATTTATTTAATATATATTTAAGATAATTTTAAGTTGCCACAATTAAATATTCTGGCTTTATATATTTAACAAATAAAGATCTTTTTATTATTATAGTGTTTTGATCTACTCCAAATCATTCTAAAATATGTTTGATCTGACATTATATAATCGGGTAACTCCAAAACATAAATATTTAATGAGTATAATTTTAAACTTTAATAATATGAAAATTAAAGAATTCGAAAAAACAGATTTAAAGTATAATACAGTAATACATATCTGCACGTTAGATAATGTATGCGTTATCTTGGAACAAAATATGTTTATTTTTTAACAAGATTTTCAAAAACAACGTACATGGCCGTTATTTTGCAGTTATACGATAATCAAAAAAAAGTACTGAATCGGTGTGTGTCGATATGGATTTACAATAATCACATCCCAATATTGATATTGGTTTTTATCTGAAACAGTAGTATTGTACGTATTGAATCATTTAGAAAAGCGGTTTCATACTAATCTATTTTTAATTGTATATTATATTTAGAAATGAAAGGTAAATTTTTTGATTCAAGATGTATGTTAAATTCGATATCAGATATGAGGAGTTTTTTCGAGACGCACACGGATATTGTCTCGAACTAGATATTGTAAATATATTTTTTTTAATCTTTCTCGAGGTGTTGTGATATACCACCCCTAAGATGAGATTTATCATGAACTCAATGACACGTTTAATAAAACAATATTTATCAAACACATATTAGTCCAAATTTAGATCTGATGTACTGTCGCATCTTTTCAAGACTTGGAAATCGAGAAATTATGTCGCCGTGATCACGCAGAATTGGTAAGTCGAGAGAATAATTGAGTTCGATCCTATACAAACATAAAATTACCAAAACTATTAAGACTAAACTATAAATGACCACTTGGGAATCGAGAAGTTTGTCGCTGTGATCACATAGAATTGGTGATACATAAATAGTAAGTCGAGAGAATAATTGAGCTCGAACCTATACAAACATAAAATTACTAAAACTGTTAAGACTAAACTATAAATGACTAATCATTCAGAGTTCTTAAAGTTCTTTTCAAGACTTGGGAATCGAGAAGTTTGTCGTTGTGATCACACAGAATTGGTGATACATAAATAGTAAGTTGAGAGAATAATTGAGCTCGACCTTATACAAACATAAAATTACTAAAACTGTTAAGACTAAACTATAAATGACTAATCATTCGGAGTTCTTAAAGTTCTTTTCAAGACTTGGGAATCGAGAAGCTTGTCGTTGTGATCACACAGAATTGGTGATACATAAATAGTAAGTCGAGAGAATAATTGGGCTCGACCCTATATAAACATAAAATTACTAAAATTGTTAAGACTAAACTATAAATAATTAATCATTCAGAGTTCTGAAAGGTATAGACCAATAATTATATTTCTAATCTTGCCTATAAACCTGATTTCTACATGACATGAGACAAACATCGTATTAATTAATAAATATATTATTGAATAAGTGTGAAGTAAAATTGTGGATGACAAAAGTCGAAGGTGGAACACAATCGCTCATAATGTAAATATTTACAGCTGTTTTCAAAAAACTGTAACCATTACTGTATATCATGGGAAATTTACACGAATTCCTTGATTTCTCGATTTCCCATGTTCGCAGAATCAAGAAATCATGTAGTTTTCCCATGATATAGTTACACCTTTTTGAAATTAGTTATAATCTTAAACGTTTTTAATATAAAAGGTTGACATTTAAGAATCGATTTCAAAGTATTTAGTTTCATTGATTGTTACATATCATTATACAGTATATGTTATTGATATTCAGTAATTATTACTTATGCACTAGGTGATATATATCACAAATCGACTCATAAAGTACAAAAATGACTCATAAAAGGTACCCAAAGTTATATAGAGACTCATATAAGCTTTTTTAGAATCATACACGTTGTAATTGTGATTATCACGAAGATCAAGGTGTAACATAAATAATTAAAACGTTTCCTTGCAAAATTTTTTGTATACTTTATGTTCTACGTATCCATATGTAAATTATGTAAACTTAACCTTAAAAAAATTAGTCAATCTTTATCACATTTTGATAATTTTTGATTTTACATTACATTGATAATACTGCAGCGATATTTTAAAAAATGTTTAGATTAGATTAGATAAAGGTTAGCTACCAATTATATATTCAATTATATACTCAATTAAAGACTAGTTATATACATACAATATATAGTTAAAAAAAAAAAAATTATATAATTTGAATTTTATTTGATTCTGTAACGATACAATATATAAACATATATCTAAACCTGGAAAATTTTTTTTCTTTACCGATTTATACTAGTCGATTAAATAATTAAAAGATCTTTTACATAAAAATGTAACTTTATAAAAAGATATTGATGATAGTAGTTGATCTCAAAAAATCGAATTTAGTTAGTCGATACGTATAATAAATAAACTTAACTATATAGTTTATATTAATAATATAATATTATATACTGTATATACTGTAATATATATACGTATATATAATGTATATATGTACTTATTTTTTTTTGAAAATCAGACCTCATATACGGAATTATATCAAATCGACTTTATTGTGTATATTTAATAAATATTATAGGTATAAATATCGACAATCGAATACCGTAAATGTGCGTACGTATACACATTACATCGATTTTAAAACTTTTAATAGACCCGATGGTCTGTTGTACTGATAATCGTGGGAGGATTTAATGTGAGGAAATCATAATTTTTTAATATCTTTTAATTATTGTTTATTATAGAGTATACCCGGGTCTTCTACATTCACCAAATTCTGCCAAGGTCTGATTCATACTATTTCAGGGATCTTGTATACGCGCATTTACAGTGCGTAGTCGATTTTGGTCGACTAAATGATTTATGCTACGTAATACACTAAAAATGTAACTACATATGATCTATGATCTCGAGAGGTATACAGTAGTCAATAATAATAATAAATAAAAAATAAAATTTTGAATACGTAAAATATATTTTTAAATAAATAGATTATACGTATAATAATAATAATAATAATAATATTATTATTATTATTATTATTATCGTTATTATTAGGAAATAATAGTATATAATATTGTTATTATTACGTATTATTAGGACACGTTCTAACGTCCATGCATTACTTCTCAGGTGTGGTTACGTAGAAATATATTTTATACGTACTGTATGTAAAATAAATTTATACGTATACGTACTACGTAGTTTATAGATAATAATTAGAATATAGACGGATGTAGACTCAGATTACAATATTTCAATTGACAAATCAGGTTGTTTAAATTACACAGATAAAGAGCAGATATTCGATAGAATATATAGAATACAAATGACATATTCGATTCACTTTTTTTTATTGCCATGTGAGCAAATTTTTTTTATCAGGGATAGATAGGTTGTCAGGTTCTTTATCGTGAATTACAAAAAGTAAATAATAAATAATTGAACATATGCATGCATGTGCACATAAACTAATGTATGTATAATGCGCATCAATTCGGTAAAACCTAGTTGGTGCCTAGTTGACCAAGACAATAGTATGGGGCTAAATTCTATTGGCAATTTCTAATTCACCGTATTGTAAATGCAGTAAATTATAATTGGACAAAAAAAAAATTTCATTTAATAATATATGTGATTATGCGTAACGTGGTGTAATATTTCACATATTTTTTTTATTTATTATTTTTTTTATGGGGCATTTCTATTGCGTTATCATTATTATTCATAATGTATTATTACAATTTTTTTTTTGTTAAAGATCAACTTGATCAGATGATCAACAAAAATAATTTTTGGTAATTATATACGCGAACTCTAAAAAAGTTTGATAATGAATTTTTTTATATGGTCAACCTTCTTAAAGTGAACCCCTGTTTTGAATTATGCATTTTATAAAACATTATTACATTTATTACAGTTATTATACATTTATTATACATTTATTATACATTTATTATACATTTATTATACATTTATTATACATTTGTAAAGTTATTTTTATACAATATTTTAAGCCAAGAATACATTTATAGCATTTAATTGGGGGTTAACATCATTATTATTATTGAATTGTGATATTGAATTGTGTGTTATTGATTGAATTGTGTTAAAGTAGGCAATACTACAATGGTCAAATAATAAAGAATAGATTTCATAAAATTTTTCACTCCTTGAAAAATATATTATAATGAAAATTCAGGAGAAAGTTTATTTCGACAAACTTTTTGGGTAAGTTTTAATCGCGAATACTGGAATAAGCACGTGAATACAAGAAATTTTTGTAAAGAAAGGAAAGTAATATGAATACGAATAATATTAAGGTAAGGAAAAACTTGAACGTTAATGTCTTTTTTAGGAGAGAATGAGACATAAAAGATTGATAAGACTAAGCTAGATTCGTAAATTTCTTTGTTATTTTAATAATGTGATATTCGAGACAATGAAGAAATTATATGGTAATTATTATTAAGCATAATATATACGGATGCGAGTGAGTTTTTAATCCTAATTGGTTTGTAAAAAGGTTGATTGTCAGACACAATGGTGATACTTTTGATATATGTGCAGGTTTCTTTGTCTTGAAAAAAAATTCCAAAGTTAAACATTAAGATATTGATAGGCACATATCATAAAGTTCATGGATAGAAACACGAACGTTAAATACAGTACTATTAAAGGTATTTCATTTACAAATTAAAAGTTCCATTTAAAAACCTTTTAAAACATTAGAAGAAAGTCTTTTCTTATTTAGGTTTACACATGAAATTGGACTAACGGTACGCGGTTGTAAAGTTCAAGAAAAAATTATAATTAATAAACTTGTACTGAATAGAAGACGCATATGGAACATCATAACCAGCCCTATTGCATTTTTTCTCAAAAATTTTAA